GACAGATTTAGATTCTGTTGTATTAACTGCTCAGCTAAGACCAGTTGGATACACTCCCAATAAAGTCATTCAGAAGTAAATTCTTAAGGTACATTTATCTGCATTTTGTCAGTTCTAACATTACATCATCAGCCCACCATGGTGGTCTGCCATCAGCACATTTTTGGAGCAATTGCTGGATAAATAGGTCTTGAAGTAGAGGCCCAGAAGAAGTCTGATGTCTTTTGTGATAAGAGTAGAGTTAAAAAAAATCAATCGTGGTGACCATAACTGACAGAATGCAGATAAATATGCCTTGAGAATTTACTTGTGAATGAGTCCATTGGGGGTGCATCTAACTGGTCCTAGCCGAGCAGTTGATACAACAGAATCTAAATCTGTCTGCTTGGGTTCAAAACCTGCTAAAGATGACATTGTCAAGTGATCACCAGAGTCAAAATCTGTTTCTCTTGGACCATGCAGGTTTCAAACCTGCCAGTTGTGACATTTGTTTTATATGAAATCACATCTTGAAATATGCTGATGGTCGATTTGCTTGCAAGCTGAAAAAAGTTCTGTTTGGCTGAGTAGCTGTCATAACAGAATCTAAATCTGTTTCTATTGGAATGTAACAGGTTTGAAACCCATTGAATGTCACATTTTTTCTATGAGAACATGCCTTGAACATTTGCTCATAGACAGTATCTCAGACATTGATCTTTATTGGTCTTAGTCAAGTTGTCACTAGAGTTAAAATCCATGTCTCTTGGACTTTGCAGATTTGAAACCTGCCGATGATTATATTTTTATTCTATGCAATTACACTCTGATATTTTCTCATGAATATTTTTCTCCAAAACCCATCATAAATACTCTTTTCCATATCATTGCCATGATAGATTCCAAATATGTTTCAATCAAAGCCCACAGGTTTGCAATCAGTTAAATGATGTATTGCTTTTTCATGTTGCAACATGCTCAATTGAATATTTGCTCATGGACGGTTTCTCAGACTTCAATCTTCATTGTTGCTAGTTCAGGAGTTATAAAAGTCAAAATCTGATTTTCCTGGACCGAGCAGGTCAAAAAAATACATCACTCAGCATACATACAAAATGTAACTTTATCATTGGCAGGTTTCAAACCTGCACATTCTAAGAGAAACATATTTTGACTCCAGTGATCACTTGACAATGTCATCTTTGGTAGGTTTTGAACCCATGCAGACAGATTTAGATTCTGTCGTATCAACTGCTTAGCTAAGGCCAGTAAGATGCACTTCTAATGGATTCATTCAGAAGTGAATTCTCAAGGCACATTTATCTGCATTTTGTCAGCTCTTTCAATAGCATGATCACTGTTGATATTCACAACCAAAGTCTTAACGTAAACTTGGAAGGATAAGTAAAAGAACAATCTAATTCTTTCTAAAGGTCTTGACTTGGTTGAAGAAAAAGAAGAGCAGGTTACACATCAAACCTTCAAGTTTGATCCTAATGACCTGGGGAAGGAGACAAAAGTACAAATTTCTCAAAGGCTGAGATTCTTTATTGTGCTTATTCAAGTGGTTGTCAGAGTCAAAATATATTTCTCTTAAACTAAGCAGGTTTGTGATCTGTATAATGACGTATATTGAAAGAACTAACAAAAGGCAAATAAATGTGCCATGAGAATTCACTTTTGAATGAGTTCATTGAAAGTACATTCAACTGGTCTTAGCCAAGCAGTTCATAGAGCAGAATCTAAATCTGTCTCTGCAGGTTCAAAACCTGCTAAAGATGAAATTGCAGGTGATTACTAGTTACCAGACTCAAAATCTGTTTCTCTTGAACCATGACAGGTTTGAAACCTATCAGTGATAAATTTTATTTTCTATAAAAATATGTTTTGACATTTCCTCATGGAGTTTGAAATCTGTTGAATGGTGCATTTTTGCTATTAGAACATGTCTTAAATATCTGCTGATAGACAGCATCTCAGACATTGATCTTGATAAGGAAATGTCAAGGTGTGATTTCATAGAACAAAAATGTTGTTATTGGCAGGTTTCAAACCTGCACAGTTCAAGAGAAACAGATTTTAAATCTGGCAACAACTTGACCAAGATCAATGAAGATCAATGTCTGAGATACTATCTATGAGCAAACATTCAAGACATGTTCTTACAGAAAAAATGTGACCTTCCAAGAGTCTCAAACTCATTGCACTCAAATGGAAACAGATTTTGATTCTGTGATCACAGCCACTTGGCTAAACACAACCATGAGTACTATTCACTATAGACATAGACAGAAATTTGATTCAAAATATTAGAAATCATGGACCCCAGACACTCCTATATAATAGGGAAATTTCATTATATATATATAGTCTAAATTACTGTGCAGTCCTTTCCATAATATATTCCCAATGGTCTTTGGTCTATGTATAATATATACTCATTTGGTCTACAAAAGCAATAGGGAAAGACCACAGAACACCAGGGAGACCAGCAGAAACATACCTCTTAGGTATAAACCTCTATAGGCAATAATCAACCTAAGAGGTGTCTGAAATGGGATAACCAAAGTGTTTTGTCCAACATTTTAGGCCAGAATTAAACTTCAAATTTGAGATCACGTACAAATTCTGATTAAATTTCTTATTGTGATTGACATATGGTTGGCGGGAATATGGTTGCCAATGCTTGAAATTTTGTATTTCATTTAAAATAGTATCAAAATTTGAAGTTATATCTCTATCTTTATGTCAGTTTAAATTTCAAATATTTTCTTCACATTTAATACAACATAAAAACATCTCCTTAACCCTGATATGCTAGTCTTTTTCATATTAAAGCCTCGTGTGCATGGTCCTAGTGCTACTGTGGTTTGGTCCAGCATCAGCTAATTGACATATTACTTAATGCACTTTTTTACTACTTGTTACATGCTATTTGCACTTATTGCACTTACTCACTTGTGCTAAATATTTGTTAAGGGCAAAAAGTGCAAAAAGGAGCACAAGCACAAGGATGAAATTAAAACATAGGATAAATACTAAGTAACTAAGTTTAACATTATATAGTAGCTACAAAGAGCAACAGCATGTATGGAACATCCTGGAAGCTGGAAGTGTAAAAACATTTTCAGCAGCTGAAAATTTCAACTATTAGCCACACAACTTGCTCACTATTCTAAAGATGATGCTCGCAGATATGGTATGGACATCTCAGATGTATGTGGATCAATGCAGATGCTGATATGATTGATAGTATTACTCCTCAAATGTTCATGAATGAGATCCACAGAAACCCATACCAACATGTTGAGATATAGCCTGTCACAAATCAACCATATGAAAATGATTTTAATGAGTATATGTACCTCCAGGCTGAAAATTCCAACTATGTAAGCTAATCATGACCAAGCTCAATATCACCCACTCAAATAGATAGGTCAAAAGGTTTGTGGGAAATTGTACCAACCATTAATGGTAGGAATGCACACTAGCCTGAAGCAGTGGCTTATGATGATATTCAAAACATTCAAGTCTAACATTTGTGTATGTATGTTTATTCCCATATTCTCACATGACTTTCAAAATGGTTCAATCAGCTTATTGGATCACATAGTCAATGCCTTTCTTCTGCTGTTCTGCTCCTCTATCTTCTTTAATATGGCACTTGTCTTTAGGATTGAGAGTATCTTTCTCTAAGCTGCAGAGAAGCTGCAGAAGTGCATGTACTGTACATTTTTATGCTGTTTCACCATGCTAACCTACCTTTTTCATGAGTGATCTCATCTTTTTACCTGCTTACACCATGCTGATGGTGTCACAGCCATATCCTACTCTCAGATGGTACATGATCACATCTGTTGACCTACTTACTCAATGCTGATGGTGCTGCGGCCTATGTCCTCTCAGATTGTGCATGACCTCAACAGCACTCATCTGCTAAACAGTATTGTCTTTCATTTTTGTAGTTTATCTCACAACTAATCATGAACTTTACCAACTGACTGTGACACTGTTCATATTTCTGCTGTCTTATCACCACCTCTGCTACTACTAATGTCATTATACTATTTACTTTGTCATGCTCGTTTTTAGCTTCATATTGATCTACTTGCTAGTACTTTGGCTACTACTTATAGCTATTTGCAAATATAATGATATTTCAAAATAAATAAAAAGTTTTGCATGATGTGAGGGCTATCATGTATAGTACTATATGGTAGCACCATACAAGTGCTCAATGATGATCCAGTCTATGATTTAGACAAGCATGATGGCTATAAGTTTGTTCTGTCTACACTAGTATACTAATGATACTACTCAACTCCACAGGGAGCATAAGTGGATTCAATAATGGTAAAGGCTTACAGTTTAATATTGAATTTGTTCCCTTTCAAGACATGGTAGGCACATTAAATAATGTAAAAATGCGAAACTGAAGGCAATCAACGAAGTTGTATACATTCATGAGGACTTCAACCTGAAAAACATGCTCATCAAAGTTTTCCATATACTGTTACAACTGGGGTTGTTCTTCTTTGCTAAGACCGAATGGTCTTTGATAGCAGAGCATAGTTCTTCCTATGAATATAGGTTCGTGTTTCAAACTAAGGACAGTGATGCTGACTGCCTTAGAATAGTGGTTTCAGACTACCAAGGTAGATCCCTTAGTAGAGCAGATGTTCCAGGTAAAACCCAGTAGATTAAAGTGAGGAATACAGGTGGTAGCTACTGTGCTCAAATAGTCCATATGGTGCGCACAGACCAGGCTGGAAATGGTAGGGATGTACATATCAAGATAGAAGCAGTCAGTGAGATGAATGAAGTCAAGATAAGGGCTGTGCATGGGGGCAGTAATGGTTGCTAGAACGATAAGAGACCTTAGTGATATAGTGAACAATGTACTGGAAAGTAATTGGTATCCGTACAGTCTTAGCTGACATAGACCATAGTCTGGTGATAGGAGAATAAATGGGGGTGTGCGTTGAACCCCCGAATTAAGATCAAAGTCACCGACTTCGACTTCATTCATCCTGGTTGGCATAGTAGATGGGGTCAGCATCGGCATTGTGAAAAGTCAGGTTGTCCTCGGGCTGCACCAAGTACTCCCTATTGGTGTGCTCAATTTCTACCTCTAACTCATGATCCTTCTGGGCCTCCCATTTGGCCAATGCTTTGTAGAAGCCTTCATCGGTATACACCAACAGGAAATCTGCTTTCGGGGCATAGGGGCAATAGATAGAAAAGTGCCCAGGCTTCTGGGTATTACAAACACGGCAGTAGTACATGGGGCAGTTCTTGTGTTTATGACTAAGCTCTTTGCAGAGTTGGCAAACAAAGTTGCTGTCAGTTGTGGTGCCAATGGTGCGAGACTGTGAGGGCATTTTGACGGTGATGGTGGGGGCGGTGTGTGCAAGGAATGATAGCTAGATGAGAAGGGGTGAAATGGGGAGAAAGGGGGAAGTGGGGTAAAACTCAAATAGACCTCTGGACGCGAGTATAGATTTGGCCTGAGGGGATTGCTACTGAGAATGATTCCTCTAAGTAAAAGTGTGAGGGGAAATGTAGAAACTAGTAAGGGTGGCTGAAACTAAAGAGAACACAAAAGCTGAAGCCGAAGCAATGCAAGTGCAAGCAAGCCACCAAAAGTATGATGTGATATACGTGTAGGTGAAGCACCAATAAGATGCAATGTGATGCGAGCGCGAGCAGCCGCAATGTGACAAAACGTGACAGCGCGCTGTAGGAACTGATTCCTGGCTAGCCTTGTAGAGACTGTTCTTACCTTAGTGTTATGTTTGCACTTTTGTAGCTTACATAATCAAGTTATCTTTTCACCAGTACCAGTATGAGTCTGAGTCTTCAGCAGTTTTTCATGACATTTCCTCTCCTCTGAGCCTTGAGCCTGGTCCAGAAACCCTTTAGGGTTGAATAGCAGCTAGGTTCTGCAAGACCCAACACATTGTTCTGAATCACCATCAGAATTGTTGTACCCACAGCGCGGTTAAGCCGAAGGTGAGATGTGAAAGAGGAACTGAAAGCGCGCTGGGCAGGGCTGAGCGATGATAAGTGCCAAGAGCATTGGATATTATAGACACGTGAATACAAGACAATTGCCACCGATAGAAGTGCGTGCGAGAGAGTACCAAAATTTTTAGATTCTTAGTCAAGACTTGTAGTTTTGCGTGTAAACAGGTGATGAATTCTGATGGGAGAGAGAAGTTACATGGAAATTCTAAGTATCTGATATATGTATGTGTGCCTAAGCGATATTTAGAGCTGAGTAGGTAGTGGGATGTATGTAAATAGGGTCCATGACACATTTAATGAAAATATAAATGGAATAGCTTGGGAATTGTTGTTAGTCTAGTGTGAATCAAGTAATATACACACCAATGAACCAGCAGAGGATATGGATAGGACGGATGGAGGACACACAATGGATCCAAAGAGAAGCCGATGCTAGCTGAAGCACCCGCGAGAGCCGCAGCCAATGATGGAAGACTTGCGCGCTATACCAAGGGTAGCGCACACTGTATTAGAACCAGAGGGACAACACAAAAAAGGCCTATACGAGGCTGCAAAGACCATAGGTCTTACAGCAGGCTCATTGATGGTGAGATCTACGATCTGGTGCTTCTTTCCTTTAGAAGACTTGGTCTTCATTATGCCATGAATTGTGGCTCCCCTCCAAGTCTTTCTCTGGTAGACTTCGGTGGGAGGCGGGATAGGAAGGGGTTGCGAAGGTGCTTCTCCAACTGGAGCTGAAATAGGTAGAACAGCGGGGGCAGTGATAGGAGTAGGAGCTGGCAGGCGGCCAACTTCTGTGGTGTTCCATACTGCAACGAGTCATATAATTTCTTTGCAGACACTGCCAAAACCAACAGGGAACAGCTGAAGTGTAAGCGAGCATATACACCACTGGAGGTGGTTGCATGATAACCTGGTGACATCATCGGTGATCTTGGCATTTTCTAGTTCTAGGTGCTGCGTAGTGCAAGCGATGTGAATGTATGTGGTGAGGGGGCCAGCTATGGTGGCGGGTTGGTTGATGAGGTGTTTCTCAATTTCTATAGCGTGGGCGAGGGAGAGGACAGTGGTTTCAACGATGATGTCGTCTTCGATGTCTTCAATGTTCTGTTTGTAGGGTGTTTCACTTAGGGATAGGGAGGAGACATTGGATTTGGTGGGAGAGGGGGTCTGTTGAGCAGACATGTTTCTTTTGATTGGGAACATTTGGATGTGAGGGAGGATGGGGATTCTAATCCAGCTTGTGCCTCTTCTTATAGGCGGTCAGAGTTTTCCAAGTTCGCTGCGGGGATCCACTCATTGCTTCCGGAAGAGTATCCTTTCCAGGACATGAGATAGTGTCGTCATTTATCCATCCCCTTCTGACTCAGAATAGCTTCGACTTCATACTCTTCTTTGTTGACTATATCAGGAGGTGGTTCTGGGAAGTTCAGACCATTGTGTTAGGGGGTTTGGGCTCCAGGGTCTATCAGGGTCTGTCCAAGGTGTCAGGGGTCCTGCCCAAGCCTCGAGGTCCATAGGTACATATAGCTAGAGCATGTCAGTAGTCACCTCCTTGCCCATTCCAGTTGTCCTGTTCCCTCTGTCTGGTCTGAGTGCCACCCATCCACCGTGGATTTCTGTCTCGTGATAGGATAATAGCTTGGAAGTGTGGAACATGGGGTGAACTTTCCATTGTTCCGGTAACTTCAAGGAGAAGGTGATGGGAGATAAGACTTTGGTTACGGGGAACGGTCCATATCTCTTGGGCGCAAGCTTCCTGGATGGGAGAGTAGTCATGAGGTTGGCGGGGGAGAGCCATACCTTATCTCCTATCTTCCATGGACGGTACCTTTCTTTACATGATCTTTCTGCCATTCATTACATGGTGATGTTGTGACAAGTGATGGCTTCTTCCCTGATTTTCTGAAGTGTTCTGAGTCTTTCTTTGGCCTCGGGTAGGTCGGAAGAGGGAAGGACATGGTGAATCCCTTGGAGTTCGTATCCCATCATTAGGAAGAATGGGAACGCATTCCTTGCCTCATGTTTGCGGTGGTTGTGTACAAATTCTGCAAGGGGAAGGTGGCTTGACCATTCTTGGAGGTTGGTTCTGCAATAGATACGCAGGTAAGTTTCTATCTCCTGATTGAGTTGTTCTGTCTGTCCATCAGTTTGAGGGTGGTAGGCAGTAGAAGCAGCGATCTGATATCCTAGCAAGTGGGCGAGTTCTTTGGAGAATTTCGAGATGAACTGCAGACCATGGTCTGAGATTACTTTCTCATGGAGTCCGAAGTGTTTGAAGACGTTTTTGAGGAAGAGCTTGGCCACTCCTTCTGATGTAATATTCTTATTACAGGGAGAAATAATTACCCCCTTCATAAGGCCATGGTCTACCACGACCAGGACAAAATCAAAACCGGAGGAAAGTGGCAGGTCGGTAACAAGGTCGACAGAGACCTGGGAGAAGGGGTGAGTAGCAGCGGAGGGAATAGGGGTCAGGGGCGGCATGGTGGGGTGAGTGTTCACCTTCATCTGTTGGCAGATAGCACAGCCTGCAACGTAGGCGCGAATGTAGGTACCCATAGCAGGCCACCAATAGTCACGTTTCACCAGCTCCTCAGTCTTGAAACGGCCTGGGTGACCGGTTGTTGGGTGATTATGATGTTAGGCGAGAACCACAGAGCAATGGGCTGGTGGAACGTACACCCTAGACTTGTAGTAAAGCACACCATCACTGATCTTCCAATCAGACAGTGCAGACTTCATGGGGGGAAGGCAAACACCATCAAGGGCATCACTAGCCACGGAGAACACAGGGTCATTGAGAGAATCATGAGTGAGGGTGGTGATGAGTTCGTCATTGAGTAAATGGATAAACATGGACTCAGGCAACAGAATGCGATTCTCATTATCACCCTTCCCTAGTCCATAATCAGGATGGTGGGAGAGTGCATTGGGAGTGGCAAGCTTTGTTCCAGGGACATGGTGGAGTTCAAGGTCAAAATTGGACAGGGTGAGTTGCCACTGCACCTGCTGACGAGACAGTTTCTGAGCTTTCTTAAAGTAGAGGAGGTTCATATGGTCGGTGAATACAACCACTGGGTGGGGACTTCCTTCTAGATAGTGGCGCCATTTGTCGAGGGCTTATATTACAGCGAGTAGTTCCCAATCAAAGATTTTGTAGTTGCATTTGGCAGGGTTCACAGATTGGGAAAGATATTCACAGGGGTGGTATGCCCCATTCTTGTCTGTTTGAAGAAGGACGGCTCCAGTAGCTACTAAAGAGGCATCAGTGGCGATGGTGAATTGCCGTGTGGGGTCAGGGTTTCGGAGTACGGGTTTAGAGAGGAAGCACTGCTTGAGTTGATCAAAGGATGTTTGGCACTCAGGAGACCAAACGAAGGCCTGGTCCTTCTTTGTAAGGTTGATCAGTGGTCTTGCGATATCAGAGTAGTGAGAGATGAAGGCCCAGTAGAAGTTGCAGAATCCTAGAAACCAACATACTTCCTTTACAGAGGTAGGTATTGGCCAATCTTTAATTCCTTCTACTTTTGCATGTTCCATGGCTACTTCTCCTGGATGAATGACCATTCCGAGGTATTCAACTTCTTTTGCATTGAAGGCACATTTTCTGGCTTCATGAATAGCTGTTCCTTGCGGAGAGTGTCTAAGACCCTCTTTGTTCGTTCCTGGTGTTCCGTAAGACTAGTCGAGAAAATTAGGAGGTCGTCCATGTAGATGACGAGCCATCCTTCATTTATCTCGGGTTGAAACTGGTCATTCATATAGAATTGGAATGTGGTGGGGGAATTTGTTAAACTGAAGAACATTACGGTGGGTTCAAACAATCCCTGTTCAGTAGTAAAGGCAGCTTTCCACCTGTTGCTGGGATGGATTCGAATATTGTTATATCTGGAACAGACATCTATCTTTGTGAAGTACTGTGCTTTGTAGAGTCGTTCAATGAGGGATTTTGGCAGTGGGAGCAGATACTGGTTGTGCACGGTCCAATCATTCAGGTATCGATAATTGTGGCAAGGGTGTAGCTCGCCACTCTTCTTTCCTACAAAGAAGAATCCACTTGCTTGTGGGGACTTCGAAGGCACAATGAATACCTTTACTGCTTCTCTCTCTTTTCCGGATAACGGGTAGATTTTCGACGTTCTTGGAGTGAAACCAGGTTTTAGATCGATATGGTGATCAATACCTGGTCATTCAGGAGGTAACTTGTTAAGGCCATCTCTTGCGAAGACATTGGCATAGGTATGAAGATAGGGGGGAACCAACTCTTCAAAACTTTTCTTTATTTTCTCTTGTTCTCCTGCCTGGGCAAATTCTTGAGCTTTATTACTAGACTTCTGGTAATCTTGCTCTTGCTTGGAGGTGCCATCATGGGTAAGTGGGGTATCAAAGGTGACATCAGAGAGGATTCAGACCTGGGAGCCATCAGTAGAGTATTCTATCAGAACTTCCTCGTTGGCTAGGGGATAGGATGAAGGGTCAATCACTGGGGAGGCAAAGTTTTCAGACCATACATCCTCCTTGGTGTCATAGTCTACTTTGTCTTGGTCAGGCATTAGTGGAGGGGGAGCTTCTTTGTCAGGGATTTCTTCTATGGAGGGGCTAGACACAGGGAGCAAAGGTTCTTCTTTCTTCAGTTTAGAGTTTTCCCAAGTATGAGATGGATCTCTCTGTATCAGCTTTTTCATAGAAACAATTGGGGGAAGGTTGTTTTGTTTCCTCCTTTGGTCGATGGTTCATTCAACTCCTTGAGATCATTTGGTGGGTGGAAGGGATAGAGTCTTGTTAACCTAATTGACAGTGGGGTTTAAGGTATTAAGGCAAGGAAAACCCAACAGTATTTTATCTTTTTGGGTGAGTCATGTTACATTGAACTTCCCAATCATGGTTTGTCTGTCAATTTTGACAATGAGGACGCAGTATTGGGACACTAGTCCTCCAACCGTATCAGATCTGTCCACCATGGTTACAGGGAAGGGTTTCGCGAGTTTGTGGGTTCGGATTCTGTGTAGTTTGCAAAACTCCTCACTAATGAAGGTTCCACATGCTCCGGAGTCAACAATCATGGAGGTTTTGACGTTTTTTATATGCTTGTCAGAAATAATAGTGGCAGGGATTCAAAGCTCCTTTTTATTTCCGAGTGATTGTACAAGTTGTATCGGGATAGGAGGTACTGACATCGTTACAGCACTCCTCTTTAAAAATCCTTCTCCATGAAGTGCCTATTCACAATTTCTTCTTCATGCTGCTTCTTCTTTCTCCACCTTCCTCCTGATTGGTGTCTTCTGCTTTCTTTCTTTGTGGGGGTGGAAGGTGGTGTCATTGGCATGGTGGCCAGTCAAATGGCATTGAAAGCACTTTCCAGTTCTCATATGCTCTTGTCTGTCTTTCTCAGAAAGACGTCCCACCTCCATCGCATTTGGGTCATGGGAGGGACGGTACTTGCAGTCTCCAAACTTGTTCTTGTTCTGGGGTTGGCCACGTCTTTGGATGGCTTGGTAAGTTTGATGATTGTTGTCAAGTTGGATGCAAAGTTCAAGCATCTCATCAAAGTCGTCTGGGATCTGGACAACTTTGAATAACTTATCCATGATGCTCCGGTTCAACCCTTCGAAAAAGAACTGTTTGAGGGTGACGTCTTCATTGATTCCAGCACGATGAGCAAGGGTTTTGAAATTGGATATGTATTCTTAGAGATCTCCTTTCATCTTAAGATCCCTTATCTTTGCCATGTGTTAAGAACGTGCTCAAGGGTCGGATCCGAAGGGCTTGGCTTCAGCTCATGCACTGCGCCCCTTACCCAACTACATGCCCCTAACTTCCGAGGGCTGTTGGACAATGTCTGATGTGCGGGAATTCCGGCGGACGTTCGGGAACGAAGGATAAGACTAATCCGGACGATGTCTGAACTAGAAAGGAAACAGCAGAGGACTACCAGAGGTAGAGGCGGAGGTGAGAAGTCTATAGGAATCGATCCTAAGACTAGCGGAGGACGACGAGAGGAGAAACTCAAGTCGGATGGAGAAGAGAATGAGCAGAGTCTAAGATAATATTTGAACTGAGGAAGTACAAGGATTCTACAGGGTTTATATACTACTGAGGACTTAATGGAGAGTCAGTCTGCGCAGTCTGAAGCTATGCGAGGCTGTGGACAGAACATATAGAAAAGTCAAACACTAGTGTTA